GAACAACATGATGAATAATCTAATAACATACGTATTAAAACATATAAAATACATTTAAATCTAGGAGTTCATAGTAATAACAAAAAACGGTTAAAAAAAGAAAAGGCAGGGAATAGAATAGGCCAACTTAGAGTGGAAATTCAGAGTCTAGGAAACCGCAGGACAGAGAGTGAGTTTCTTCAAGAAATAGATTGCAGTACGAAAAATACAAAATGAGGGAAATTAAAAATGATTTAACAAACTTGTCACCCATCTCCATGCACAGACCTTCATTAATCCTAATTTAAATAAAGTCTAAAAAATTTATGACATTTGTGAGGTCACTGGAAATTTGAACAAGTGAACACTAGATGATATTAAAATTATTTTTAAGTGTTAAAATGGTAGGTGGCTATATTTTTTAAACTAGTACTTAAATGATAGATCTACTATCTATATATTTCAGTATCTACTGAAATATTTGAGGTCTGAAATTTACCTGAAATTAACATGAGACATGAAGGAAATTGGTGGGCATATACATGGAAGAAAATAGGCCATGAGTTGATAATTGTTGAAGCAGTAAAATGAGTATACGTGGGTTCATTATACTTTTCTTTCTACATTTATTCATGCTTGAAATTTTCTATATTAAAAATTTTTTAAATCAAGAATAAGACAGAAAAGTTAGTCTCGGGCAGAAAGGACACCTTTTCCTCGGAAGCTGCAAACATTCTGGCTTATTTTTAAAACACTCACCCTTCCACTCTTGCCATCATTCTCAACAGACGATTATACCTCTTAACTATCACGTGAAATATTACTCAACTTCCTGTCAAAATACCTACCTGTTTATGCATTTTAAAACAGTCATCTTTTCCTCACTTCCAAATATCTAAGCAAGGGCTCCAACTGTGATATCTTTCCTATATTTTCTTTCAACTTCTCCACTGATGGCTTAATCTTATTTAAACATGCTCTTACCTCTCTGACCTTAAAAAAAAAAATAAAAGAAAAATAGTCCCTCTTCCCTCTCTACTTTCTCATCCAGATTCTTCCAGATTTCTCACCTCTCCTTCACAATGACATTTCTTAAAAAACATCCACTGAGTCAGAGAATAGTTGTCTTTCAAAAGACATTTGCCTCGTCTTCCTAAATGTTAGATTCAGGCCACTGAAAATGAAACATACTTGCTTGCCAATGGGACATAGTGGAAATGGTGTACACAACTACTTGGTAATATCTTTTAATTGAGGAGACAACCCTTTCTTCTCTGGTCTCTGCCTCCTTCCTCCTGGATGGAATTTCAACATACGTCTTGTACCGTGATATGACTTTGGCAATGGAAACAATAGATCATGGAGCAATAAGACAGAAGACTAAAATTTCAATATCTTGAGGTCCCTAATATATGAAATCCACTATATCTAGATCTTAATTCATCCTAACGCTACTCAAATCTGGCTTTCACACATGTTATCCAACTGATACTATCCTCACCAAGGTCAGCAATGACATATCACTATACTTTCTGCACTATTAATCATTCCCTCCCATTTCTCTACTGCAAAATTTCAACATTTTTTTCATATCATAAAACACATAGGACATACAACTTTATATTACATTGGGGTAGCAGACAAACCTGCTTATGACTAGAAGTGACCAGCTTCTGACCAACCCAGGCCCCACCTGGCCTTTGAAAGGTATAAAGAATCAATGTAACAATAAAACATGTAAGCGACTGATAGCATATTATTGTACTATGACACATCTTTTGGGTAATTCAGTTCTAGACACTTCAGCCTCTTGTTTTATAAAGAAAATAATTCTTCCCTTAACATTCCAGGGATGTATTTTCTAGAGTTCTCTTGTAGTCCTTCACCTGGGGTTATTCCATCTACTTCTATGACCTTACTCAAAATCTATAGGCTGATGACTCCCAAGTCTATATACACATCTCATTTGTTCTTCTTGAGCACCGGACAGCAGAAATTTAGCCTCTTATGGATCATTATCCATTTGAAGTCTTCCAGGCACTCAAATTAAATGTATTATCTTCACCCCAAAGTATTCCTCTTCTTCTAAGCTCAGTGAATGTCACCCACCATGCACTTACTTGCTCCAGCTAGAACCCTCAAAAGTCATCTTTTGACTCCCTTTTCTCTCCTTTCTGTCTCATATCCAATAGGTCAAAAGAAATCTATTCATTCTCTTGAATCAGGCGACACCTACTCAAGAAAAATCAGATTATGACTCGTGGTTAAATCAATCATCATGCATTGTATATAAAGCACTTAAAAATATTTCAAATCTGTAAAGCACTACAAAATATTGACACTAATGTAGGAAAAATAAGTGGTCCAGTGGATACACAAAAATACATGGAGTCAAAAGTCACAAGTTAAAGGACTGACTTGAGTGTATACTAGGTTGGGAGATCCAAGTAAATCGTTTATATTTGAGACCCAGTTTTCTCATCTGTAAGCACTCCATTTGTTCATGCAATCAACATGCAGCTACTGGGTTCCTATGTGTCAGGAAATGTGTAATTGGTTTAGGGATACAAAGATTAAAGAATGAGTAAGACATTTCCTTTTTCCCCAAAAAAGAAAAAAGAAAGGCAAACATGTAAAACAATAATTGTCTCATGGCATGTATTCTGCTTGAAGACAACATTGCCCCCAAGGGTGCAAAATGTGTTTGTTTGTTTTTTGAGGTGGGCAAAAAGAAATTACTTTTTTTATGTATAAAGCACAGACAGACACACAGTACTTAGACAGATACATGGTAGATATGTGGGATTAGCTGAATGCCAGTTCTGGGCTAAGCACATTATTATTCATTATCCCATTTGTCCTTCACAACAAAACCTACAACATAGGTATTATTATTTCTATTTCAGAAATCAGAAAATGGCCTTGAGAAGTTAAATAATACAACAAATCTACCAGCTGACACTAGAATATAAATTCCATAAATGCAGAGGTCTTGTCTGAATAGGTCATTGGTCTATTCCGAGTACCTGGAACAGTGCCTGACACTAAGAAGGCAACCTAATAATATCTGTTGAATGGATGAATTATTGTGAGTTAGGAATAAATGGAGAAGTTCAGAGGCCCATGATGCATTAGATTCCAAATCCTGTTTTCATAATCGCTATGTTGTTGGAGGGTCCCAATACAGGACTTAGAACGGATTGATGGATCTATGGGTAGATAGATGGATAGAATGGATGGAGAGAGAAAGAAGGAAAGAAAAGAGAAAAAACGGTGGACAGTGTCTGTTCTTCCTTCCTGTAAGAATTAGCATGAGAATTAAATTAATAAATTTACATTAAAAAAAGAGAATGGCTAAATGTAAGGTAACTGATAGAAATTTTATTAGCAATAACATAATATGCTTTCCTGATGATTCTCCCATGCAGTCAGTTCATGCATCTTGTGTCTCTCAGAGTCAAACTATTATTTGCCACACTGCCTTCAGGACCAGCCTGGGGTTATAATGGTCATGAAACACAGCTGGAACTTGGATGGATAATCACGTACTAGAACTTTAAAAAAAAAAGAAAAAAAATACCTGAATAACTAGAAAAAGTACATGTAATTATAGGACTAAGAAGTACAATCATACTTCATGTCATTAAATTGGCAAAGAGCTCCTAACATAATTTTTAAATTAAGACTTTTTTCTCTTAATTTGCCTCAATATAAGACCTTTTGTGCTTATATTAAAATTATTCGTCATGAATGAGTCTGTACTACATTTTAAGTAAGTGAAATATAATTATGAATTTCAAGTACCTATGGAATCCTGACTTCAACATATTTCAAGTTTATGTCCTCGAGCAAGATCTTTACCTCTCGAACTTCAGCTTCTTGAAGGGCAAAATGGGACACACATCTAATCAGTGTTTATAAGGAGTAATAAGAAAATATACATAAAGCACCTAACACAATTCCTGGCATAGATTAGGTACTCAGTAAATATGCTTCGTCTTCTTGTTCAAAGAAACACAGATAACTTCTTTTAAACTCCATCCAGTTCAATGATTAAAATTTCTCCCTATGTACACTGTTTCAAGTTGAGACTTTAATAATAAAGATGAGATGGGGGCAAATACGGCATTTATTCTATGTTACCCTTAAAACCTACATGATACTGACATCTTAGCTCCTGATTTACCCAAGTTATGTATATATATATACATATATATGTATATATATATATAACAAACTAAAACGCCTTATTTATTATTTGATTTTCTCATATGTTGACTAAATTTCCTTTAAATAAAATTCTTATAGTGATAAATGACATATTTTAAAATTGTCTTTGCATTATTTATTTAAGCTGTGCTATATGCAATATATATATATTACGATCATATATCAACATAAGAGCATAACAATCATTGGGACATATCTGCACTGTATGAGGTTAAGCACTATTTGAGCTTCAGATGAAAGCTTTTGAAGATTCTTTGTTTCTGGATCACAACAAACTGAACAAATTTTATAGAAACATTTTGGTTCATCTGTGGCTCATCCATTTAGTTACTTGCCAATGCCACAAATTTATTTTATCCCAGGCCCTAAAATAAAATGTGGTGTGTGTGTGTGTGTGTGTGTGTGTGTGTGTGTGTGTAAAACAGACTTTGGAGCCAGACAGAACTGGATACAAATCTCAGTCAGGCTATTAACAAGCTAATTAGCAAGTTACTTGACTTAGTTTCCTTATATCTAAAATGGAAGATTTTTTGTGAAAATTAAAATTAAGATAATTCTTGTAATGGGTTCAACACAGTGTCTAGAGACCTGAGCAAATACTTAAAAATTTCAGCGCTCTCTTTTTAACATTATAATTGTCTCTAGGAGATTAGACATGTGTTACTAGTCCCTTCAAACTGACCTGTGAAACAAAAATGTGATTCTTAAGTTACTAAATTAGAGCCAACTCTGTTACAACTAACTGCAAGAAATCACAAGTCCACATCATACAATACTTGTAAAGAGCATACCATATCCCACTGTAGAAAGACCCAAGTGTTTCATTCTATTTTTCACAAGTTCAGCAAGCTCTTGTCTTTCTGACCTCCTGTAGAGGTTCAGGCGCTGCTGGGTTATTTTCTCAGCTGTTTTACCGGAGTGTTTGGGACCTTTTCTGCTCAGTCTTCGGGCCCACTGCATGCTCTTCCTCCTTAGCAGGGGATGGTCGGACTGGTCACTGGATGTTGAGTTGCGGTGGTTACTTCGGTGGTGACCTTGCTCTTTGGCATCTTTGGTGTCTTCCCACTCTTCCACACTGATGGATATTTGAGACTTTAAAAGAAATGCATATTGGTAATTAGATATTTTAGGAATCATGTAGCCTGGAGTTATATTCTTATTTTTTGCTAATATCTTAATATAATTATATATCTCATGAGAGTTTTTACAGAAATAGCAAAATCATAATCATTGATACTAATTTTCTGCTACTAAAAAATTAGAAAATATGTTTTTTGAACTTATATTTGAACCAGATAAAATATCCTTGCATCCTCCAATATAAGTTTCTTTATAAAAATAATTTAATTTTTTATGTATCAGAGTTATCTTATCAAATGACTACTAGCATAGAGTTGTTTGAAACCACAAGCAAAAGAACTAGATATTTTATAACTTTATTCAAATAAAGTCAATGTAATGGACTTTTCTCAATTTGCTCCTAGTATTTCACATGAAATTTAAATAAGGATTATAAAAGTTGTTTTATTTTTGGAATTAATAATCTTTTTTAAGGTTTTAAATTTACTGCTCTTTCTAAAGAAGGCATTGGCCTGAACTTTATAAAATGTGAAATTTTTTATTTGCTCATATGACCCAGAGGAAAACAAAAAGTACATTTTAAGTGTTCAGTGAAATTGCCTTAATTATGTCATGTTTCTATATCATATAGCTCTATCAATGCGGCAGCACTACTTTCTTTCATTGTTTTTCTTATGAACTCAGGTGACCTTTCACTGTGCAACAGTGGAATGTTTTTATCTTTTCTGAAGCTATAACATTTATTTTCTCCTCAAAATAATGTATTTTTAAGGTGAAGTAATAATATTATCAGCATCAAAATTATCATTACTGTACATTTTGTAAGTACGTTTTTTGTAGGTCTCAAGGCATCTCTTCACTCTTCTAATGGTTATTTAATATTGACTGTTGTATTTCATGTTGATATGTGTCTGGTAGGTTAGAATCAAAGTCTGGCTCAAATCTAGACTAATTTCATCCTCATTAACTTTTAGTTCATTAAGGAAACTAAAAAGCAGTTTTCTTTAACCAAATGATTCATTTTATATCTAGAGATAACCAAATGCGTCAACATATTTTCTTTCTACATAAAATGTCCTTTTGGGGTACATATGATTTGGTTTTTATGTATTGTACATACTTATATATGTGTGTGTAGAGAATTTTCTTATACACCCGAATAGTTTTAAACTCCAAATTTGACTTATAAACAAAAAATCAATAAATGGAAGAGTACTTATCAAGCACACAGGTTCAACACAGCAAGAAAGGAAGGCACTCAGATAGTTTACATGATCAGAATCATAGTTTCATTGCCAGTTCTGTCATCTTCACAGTACAATTCTCACTCATCATTTTCTAGAATTACAGGAATACATAGCCTAAAGCAATGGTTTCAACCACATGTATATGTGTGTGTGTAGACCCTACTTACTGTAGGGTAGGTGAAGGGGGCTATCATTCTATCACCTCCAGAATCTTACAGTACAGAAGAAAACACCTAAGCATATAAAGTTATGAAAAACTATTATAGTCAGTTCAATATGAGTATAGCATCAATTCCACCATACCCAAACATTTTACACACACACACACACACACAGACGCACACACACACACAGAATCCTCTTCTCTTTTTCAGCATTTGAGAACCACCACCCTAAAGCATATAACAGTTATGAATAAATGAGACTGTGGAAAGAAAATTTCTATGATATATGTAATGTCTTAACTAAGGAAGAGATTCAATGGTATAAGACTTGGTAGATATGAATATTTATATTCTTATGTAAAGAATCTATATAAAACAGTATTATTGATCCAAGTATACTGTTGCTGAGCGATCATCACTCCCTTATTAAGACCTAGATGGCTTAGATCAACCTTATAACTTTCTATTCAGTTCTGATTTTGTAGACTCCAGCACCCATGCAACAAGAAGTTGTGACTAAAGGCTTACTTTACTTCCTGTGGCAGGGTAAAGTGAAAGAATGATGTCGTGCAGTTTAAGATATTAAGTGAACAGAAAGCCATGACTATGTAGTTAAAATAAAACAAATAGATTGGATGCATTTAAATAGCTTCTTGCTAATAAGTGTGCCAGTGAGACTGTTTTTTCTCTTTCTCCCTCCCCCAAGCCACACAGCATGCAGGATCTTAGTTCCCCAACCAGGGATGGAACCCACACCACCCCCTGCAGTGCAAGCTCGGAGTCTTAACCTCTGGACCGCCAGAGAAGTCCCGTGCCAGTAAGAGTCTTAAGTTAAGGTACGTAAATAATGCAAGTAAGAAATGCTTTCCTGACATTGAAAATAAGATAAGAATTAGTAGAGCTAGGAAATATTATAAAAAAGAATAATAAAATGGACTAAAAATATTCGAGTCAAATTTTTATAAGAGAAAAGTGAAAGAAAATTACAGGTGAGCTGAGACCCATGGTGTGTGTGTATGTGTGTGTGCCTGTGTGTGTATGAATTAGAATGCACTTGAGGTTAGTGAATATATTTACTTTTGATAATATTACAAGGTATTTATCCAAATCACAGGAATACTTCCTACTATTTCATTTATAAATTTAAGTGTATTGACACAGACATTTTCTGAAGCAGTGTTATCCACTCAAAAACGAAGAAGCAGTGAAAAATGATGAGATGAGATCTATGTTACTCTATGTACGTTGGCACAGAATTGTTTGCCATTAACTATGAACGATTCGCTTAACACATTTCTGCCTTTTTTCTAACTGATGAAGTGATAATAAACCTCCCTACTTAACCTCCACTCTACTATGTGTTGAGAATTGCCCAAGTTCACACACAGCTAGTAAAAGTAGGAGCCAACTTTTAAACATAGATTATCTGGCTCCATGTCTGGTGCTTTTACCGTCAGACAAAATAATTGAATAAATGAATCTTCCCAGGAACAGGGACAGAGAAGAATAAAGAATGGCTAGAATATAGGAACTTAAAATTCGGTCACAAGCAATTGACTTGGTATGACAGGCATCAAACATCCACGATTAGGCGTTGTTAATTTGTGTGTATTACACAAGACACTGAAGGGAAGAGAATTTGGATATCGTAAATCCACCCAGAAGTAATTAAATCCAAGAATAGGCATGAAATGTTCATGTCCACTTTCTGGTATGTTTACTGACTCATTCCAAGCACCTAGATGAGAACATCTGGACCTTGGTGGTGCTCAGTAAATATCTGTAATTCTGGAAGATTATAAGACAGAAAGTATCTGGCAGATAATGAGTTTGTTATTCACGTTTAGGAATTAGAACAGGGAGGGCAGAGAACAAAAATTTGCCATCCCTCAACCCCGAAGTAATCATTGAAACCACAAGATACATTGAGTGTTACAAAGCCATGTGTTGAAAAGAGGAGAAGTCTTTTCCAAATCCCCAGTTTTGGTTCAAGTGGCAATTCCCACATTGATTCCCAAACAAAGCACCTTGGGATCTCAAAGCAGACGGTGGAAAAGAGAGAGGTGGCCAGAAATTGGTAGAAGCTCCTACAGCGAAACCTAGTGATTAAAATAAACAGGCTCTGATGTCAGAAAGTGATAAAGTTCAAATCCAGGTCTGCTACTTCCTAAGTTTTTATTTTATCAAGTTAATGTGTCTAAGTCTCTGCTCATTTACAAGTGGGAATAATATCATGCATCGTATTAGCCTGCTGGGCAGATTAAATTAAACAAGAAAGCACTTAGCGTTGTTCAGGGATCGAGATTAATGCTCTGGGAGAGATGACCTGCAGTGAACTTTAGCCCACCCTTAGGTAGATAATGAAGTACTTTCTGGAACCTAAAGATGAAGCCCCATCCTAGGGGAGGAGGTGAAGGTGATCGCTGCCTCTCCTTGGGGTCCTGCGTTCTAGAGCCAATTCCGAGACAGGAGATTAGACGAACCTTCAGATGGAAGATCACAGTAGCAGCATCTAAAATGAGCTGTTATAGGCAGAAATTGAACAGCAAAAAAGGGGAAAAAGAAATAAACCAGTGCAAACAGGGAAAATAGGAGTAATTCATGATATGAAAACTAAGGATAAGAGAATTTAAAGATGTAAGAGATAATGAACCCTGTTAAAGGTTCTACAGTGCTTAAACAAATTACAACTAATTTAAAAGGCCAATGATTTTGGCTAAAAGAGATTTTTAATAATTGAAGAACAGTACTGATAAAGTAGTGGGGGAAAAGCTGGGAGATAAGGAATAGAATGGACAGCATGTATGAAGTCTTCTGAGAGTTTAACAGCAAGAGTAAAATAAGAAAAAACAGAAAAAAAAAGAAAAATTTCTTGAGATTTGGGGAAACCTCAACATATTTGAAGGGAGAGAGAAAACACCAAAACAAAACAAAACTAGAGGTGGAAAGGACGGAAATTGTATAAGAAAAAACTGGAATTACAAGGATAAGCATATTTTAATATCTAAAGTACAATTAGAGCTTTTTCTTCATAAAAAGGATTGTGAGAAGGATACTTATATTGGAAGACTCAAACTTCCCAGCAAATTAAAGGGAAGACACTTTATTTATATAGGGAATTGACTGGAGGATTTTGAGACCTCGAATAGTAACTATGAGAAAGAAAGCAATCAGAGGAAAAAAGTTATGAGTCAACTTGTAATTGGCTACGAAAAGTCAGAAATGAGCCAAACCTTTGATTTTCTGCATCTGAAATGGTAAGTTAGAGAAAAGAGGAGATAGTGAAGCTTGACATCTGAGTAAAAAGTGAAGAACAACACTTTGAATCAACATGGAAAACTATAATAGAGCCAAAACCTACATTTAAAAAATTAATTTTACTTTCAAACATGAAGCTATAAAGTTTTTTCACAGATGAAAACTTTGTTCTTACTGGGACGTGGTGTGACCACTAACTAGTGTTTCTACCAGCGTGGAGCAGATCTGGACTCACACCCTAGAAAGCCTTCAGTAGAGGCAAAGTGAAGCAACTTGGCTTGTGACATGTTCCTAAAATACTTCCTAAAATAATGTCTGCCAGTTCATTATAAATAAAATTAAA